CTTGCTTCAATCCACAGAGGTGATAATGGTTCTTGTTGTTTATACTTTACATTAATAGAAAATCCATTTCTGCATGAAGAAAATGCTGAACAACTTATTTAAAGATTCTGATTTGAAGGAATCCCCAAATCATTGATGTGCCTGGGTTTCTACCAGTGCGTGTCTTATCACCTTGAATGAATGTAGGCATGAGCCTCGTTTTCCATCAGAGAGGTTTAGAAACTTTTCCAGAGTCGCCCAGCTGGGAAGCGGCAGAGCCAAAACCGGAACCCAGCTCTCTCTGGCTGCCGACTCTGGACTCTGGTGCTGTCTTACCGAGTTAGGCTCCCTAGAGGCGGAGCCTGAGAAGGGTATTCCTACAAGTGAGTTATGGAGGTTTTAGGAGACACCCCCTCCCTCCCACACCCCAGCACATGCAGAAAAAAAAAGCACCTTGTTCCAACTCTTGCTTTCTAGAGTGCAGCCACCCAAATACCACCCTGAGATGCAGACGGGGGAGAGGTCCCGGGCCTCAGCTGCGCACAGAGGAAAGAGGCAGATAACATGATCGAGGGCTGGGGCCGCCATCAGCACCTTCTTGCAAAGGCAAACTCCAACCAGCTGAACCCACAGTTATCAGACAATACTCGGATTGTGCTGACATCTGACCACTTAGAATGGAACTCCACTCCGCGCTCATGAACCTATTTGATGAAAACGCCTCGATTTAGATAACTGCAAATTGCTTTCTGAGCATAATTTCCTATTAGTTCATTAATCTCTCTATTCAGAACGCCAACAAGACAGCTGATGATAATTCCGGAGGAAGTGGGCATGACACAGGAGCAGGAGGGAAGGGGGTGAGACACTCCAGAATCTCCTGGCTTCCTGGGTGGAGGGGTACCCCAAACTAATGTATTCACTTTTGTTTATTAAGGTCTTATCATGGGCCAAGTACTAGGCTGAGCATGTTACCTTATTATCTCAGATTGAAAAAATAATAAAGATCTCATGCGTAAATGAACAAATGGTTCTGCCCATTTTTTCTAAGAAGCTTTCCCCTCCCCACCACCCCACCCCCAGTCTCGGTGCCACCTCTCTGAAATTCCCCGTCACTGTCTTTATCGTGCACGTCTGTTTCACTGGAATTCATTTCTCAACAGCTGTCTCCCCTAAACTCCTGGACAGTGGGGTCTGTGTGCTACCTGTCTCTGTCCCTCATCCAACCCTTCTACCTTGCCCATAAGTGTGACCAAAATGTCGCTACCTTTGAAAACAAATACCAATGACCGTCCATCCTCGCTGTTCTTAATGCAAAAGCGGAGGGTTTTATTCACAGAAGAATATTCACAGAAGAATACATGCAAATTTCAACTGGCGAGACCTGTGGTGCGGGCTCACCGCTCCAACCTGGAGGCGCGCTCACCCTGCTGCAGTTACGCAGGGACATGTCAGAATTCCCGAGCGTGCCGGCCCCGCAGCAGCGACACGTCTGCTTCCCACTGTGGCAGGTTTTCTGAGGGCTCAGCAAACTGGTGCCCGTGGCACAGCGGAGCATGGAGTCACCTTTGCACCAGGAGTCACCTTTGCACAAGGTGAGTGAGGAGCAAGTTCTGTAATAGAACCTTGTGACTTGGGGGCAAGGACATGTCACTGACTCCTCCCACCAGTCCTGTGGTGGGTGCTCCTTGCGCGCCCACTTTACAGCTAAGGAAACTAAGCTCCCAGACGGCAAGTGTCTTGCTCAGGCTCACACAGGGAGTTGGGCGATGGAGCTGGGACTCAAACTCGGTCCTGGCTGCTTTCAAAGTCTGTGCTTCTAGCAGCCAGCCCTCCCCTCATAC